ACTTAAGGAAATACAAGTTGTATATATTGTTAGTGAATAATGATGGCAATGTTCCTAGCGAAACGCTAGGGGACAAAATTCTTTGTGTATGCGTGCAACACAAAGGAAAGCTATTTCGCTCAACGCCACGGAACGACTGTCCCAATCACTGCCGGGACCGGCTCCGGATACCGGTCTCGAGCCTATCGGCAACCTATCATGTGTTCTGGCATAAACGAGCTAGTGGCACAATGGCAAAGTGTGTCATCATGTCTCCACTACTCTCCACTCACCCCCTCTCTCTCTTTCCTCCCCCCCCTTTTTTTTGAAGATACGAACTCATACAGAGACACAGGGTGTGAGGACAGGACAGAGGTGAGAGGACGCGTCAGTCTCGATGGAAGCAGAGGGTTCTGTCTGAAGACTAAGTCGTGAGACAGGAGTCGTTCATGTGAGAACTACTAGCCTTAACGAGAAAAATACGTTCATCACGCGTCTTATGCTTGGTCCGATTTTCCCCCAATCGGAGACAATAGTTTGATATCTTTTAAATCATATTTGCCCGGATGGTCCTTCCGTCTTTGGACCAACTCTGGCTTCTATAGTTGCATCGAGCCATCTATCAGTGAGTTTATTATTCGGTCTTGGATTCCGATATAACACACTTGTTCCTGGCTCTAGACCTTTTTCCCATTCCGAGGAAGTTGGCGTGCATAAAACATCCTATTCATCTCTCGTCTCAACGGGTCGATAAGGTTCGCATTGTGGTAGAAAACTGACGACCTTGTCATGAGCGGATATACCACGAAATGGTGTTGTATTATACTTGGCAACGCCTTCACGGATTAGGCGCAGAAATTCTGGCCATCCGATTTCATCGTGAGAGGCGTGTGTTCGTAAGTACTCATTGAGTGTGCGATGGAATCTTTCCACTTTTCCATTTGTGAGCGACGTATTCTTAGCTGTGGTTAAATGAAGCACGTCATGCTTCAACAAAAATGCTTCGACTCGTTTGGATACCAAATTCCTTCCAGAATCGGACCATACAACAAGAGGTGTTGTGTGATAGATTTCAAACATGTGAGCAAAAAGTGCTTCCACATCTTCACTGACTGGGGTTCCTTTGGTAGCTTTTGCCAGTGCATATCCAGTTGCACTGTCCACAAGGGCCACTGCAAACAAAGCTTTGCGACCAGATACTGTTCGGTAATTACCAACCACATCGATGTGGACTTTATTGAATGGTATTGCGGACTTTCTTACTGCACGCACCTCATCAGGGTCACGTTTCCGCTTCTTTCCAGTAGTCTGGTCTATGGCGTCACGTTTTGATTAGCGTGTGCCTTTCCACGCTTGCACACGTCACACTGATCAACAACTTCTTTGCAGACTTTTCGGAGTCCTTCCGCACGAACCCATCTATGGAGTCTTTGGTATAACGCCTCGGTTCTCTCATGATCATGATTTTCTATCACGAAGTTACGGAGTTGAAAGGATGGAATCCATACAGCACCATTTCTACAAGTACTTACGTCTTGCCAGGTTTCCTGCTTCGCTCCCGCTGCCGAAACTTTCGGCGATCTCCTAGATGGTCTTGCCCATTTGAGATAACTGGGGATGCGAGAGAGTTTATCAGCAGGGTTCGGCTCACTTTGAATATATTGATATATAACATCAATCTTATACAAGGCTAATAAATCGTCGATCATTTGTAGTCTTACTTCGGCGGCTCCGGATGCCAAGCCTTTTGAAGCCACCTAGTGCTTCGCTTGCTTCCTGGATAGTTGACCTAGTACTGGTTTGTTATCAACATACATGGTTATCGTCTTTCCATGTGTAAGACCTAATGCTCGGAGCCAAGGGACTACCACATTATTCACGCCTCTGAGTGCGGCTTCCAGCTCTACTGTATCAACTGGTCGGATATCTCGTACGTCTCTGAGCCATGACTTGTCTTCTACTAGGTCATTCCCAAAATAGAGGCAAGCTCCAATGGCATCGGCTGATGCATCCGTGTACAGTTTCCAAGGGGCGTCAGGATCAACGGTGAAAACTCCTGTAGCTGGATCGCCTGTAGCTTGAATATCGTTGTAAAGTTTTCGAGCTTTGGTAATCAGCGCCTGGTCGAGTAGATCCGTTGACTTTGCGGCAGGATTGCTCAGAACACCGAGCCTTTCTAATGCCCTGGCTGCTGGTGATAACCAACCTAGAATAGGAAGATGCGATGATGCGATAGTAGCAACCCATGATCTCAAATTGTTATAGGTTGTTCCTTTCATTGGTTTAATCATCGCACGTCGTTTCCACATGTTGGTTCCATCCCGCTGTAAGCCTAAAATTCGGGCAGACTCGCTATCCGCTGGATCCTTTGTAGGAAAACCATTCCGATTTAACACGGCCACAACTTTTTCAACATAGTCAACTGGAACTCGAATATTATCAACAAATATCTCTATTGAATTTTCGAGTCCAGCTTCTTGCAAGATATACATTATAGTCCGTCTTAGGACCTTAGGGGCTATGTTTACGCCGAAACCTAATCTATTGAGGCGCACATACCGGGTTTCGCCACTTGGGCCTTCAATGATAAGGCCTTGGTAATTGGCACAGTCACGCTGCATTTCTATACAGAAGTATGCCTTTTGAATATCAATCAATACTCATTTTCCAACACTATGCCCATCTTTAGCTTTACCAGCTCTCCAACGCCTTGTTGTGTCTTGACAAGTGACGTGATCATCAGAATTTGGCAATGAAATTGTCTGGTTATTCAAGGGCTTATAATCTATGACTGGGCTACATGGCGTAGACACTTTATGTTCTTGAACTGCTGCCATAAATGTCAATGTTCCATTCAGTTCACATCGTGGAACTTCTTCAATGAAGCCTTGTTTTTCCCAATTCTCTAGCTCTTTTCGCCAGAGGTCTTGCTGTGAGTCAGTCAGAGTTTGCATCTGTTTGTGGTACGTAGCAGGCCGGAAAACTCGTGGTGGAGGTGTTTTAGTTGTCCATTTCCATTGTACTCTCCACCTCGAGTTTCCATCTGATCCCGTTAGACGTACGCCCTGAAATCAGTATCTTCTATTTGACGCTAGGGGACAAAATTCTTTGTGTATGCGTGCAACACAAAGGAAAACTATTTCGCTCAACGCCACGGAACGACTGTCCCAATCGCTGCCGGGACCGGCTCCGGATACCGGTCTCAAGCCTATTAGCAACCTATTATGTGTTCTGGCATAAACGATCTAGTGGCACAATGGCAAAGTGTGTCATCATGTCTCCACTACTCTCCACTGAATGCTTAATTAAAGTCAGTCGGGAAAAAATAAAAAGGGGGCATATTTCCGAAAGAAATGGTTAACTTATTAGAAGTTCGGGTGAAATATTGAATTGACTTGGAGATGATGTAGATACACCAATCAGAACGTAAGCGCTACGGGTACGCGTGCATTCATGCGTGCCACCACATTAGCAGGAAAGGGAAAAAATGGAAACCATAAACTTTGAAAAACTGGGAAAAGCATAGAACTGGAAAACTCGAAAACATGTCCGATGGGTAGTTCACAGCATCACGACAATGGAGTATCCCGACGAAAGAGAACACATCACATATTCAAGATCATATTACTGTGGCCCAACTTCTGGATATGTTTTTGAATGAGCAAGATAACCCATAAAATACCTATCCCCTACACATCGAAAACAACATCCACAACGAGACTCACTTCAATCTCCTACTACACCTACTCGTCCACTATCTACTAAGAAGCCAAAAGTTCCACCAGGTGTCTACAAGAAAATATTGGGAAAAGGGATATGTCTCCGTTATTACCAAAATGACACATGTCGTTTCGGAGATTCTTGCTACTATAAACATTTAAAGCATGATGATGAGCTCCTGCAGAACATTATTACTGA